GGCCCCGGCGCCGCGGCCACAGAGCGCCCGCCCGGCGCCTGCCCGGGGACGGCGGCCGGCCCAGGGACCCGGTGCCGGAGGAGCACGATGCTATGCCCGACCCGGCCCTCTTCCTCTACACGTCGCGGCCCCGCGCCCCGCAGCGCCTGTCCCCGGAGCCCCCCGAGCCCCCCGCCCAGCCCCGCGGCCCGGCCGGCAGCGCCCGGGGGCAGCGGCCGCCCCGGCAGCCCCTGCAGGACCCGGCGGCCAGGGCCAGGTCGGCCAAGGGTGAGCCCGGAAAGAGGCAGGGGGCCGGTGCCCACGGTGCCCCCCGGGCCCAGGAATAGGCCCAGGAATAGGGGACAGCGTGGCCCGACCGGCCGGGAAGGCCTGAGCCTGGCAGCACCGGGGCGGGCGCCGGCCAAGGTTCTTTTCCCCATCCCCTCGGGGGGGAAAGGGGCAGCAGAAAGCGGCCGCCCTGCATGCACCTCCCACCCACAGGACAGCGGGGGGACTCCTCTGCCCGAAGGGTCTGAGCCGAGGGTGGCACCGGCAAAGCTGCAGGACAGGGGAGCACCCACCACCTGGGCTGTGGAGGGGACATGGTCCAGCACCTGTCCAGAGCTTCCAAGGAAAGAAGGAGAGAGAGAAAGAAAAGGAGAAAGAGAGAGAGAAAGAGAAGAAAGAAAGAAAAGAAAGAAAGAAAAGAAAGAAAAAGAAAGAAAGAAAGAGAGAAAGAGAGAAAGAAAGAAAGAAAGGAAAAAAAAAGAAAGAAAGAAAGAAAGAGAGAGAAAGAAAGAAAAAGAAAGAGAGAAAGAAAGAAAGAAGGAAAGAAAAAGAAAGAAGCAAGCAAGCATTTTTGTAATGAGGAGATCTTCCTGCTGCTGTTGCCCTCAGAGTGGGCACCAGATGTGTTTTCTCCAGCCAGGGGTGCCAGGAGGTGTGTGTGCAGCAGCAACGGGGTGGGCAGCGTGTGGCTTGGCACAGTGGGATGAGCTCAGCCAGGCCTCCAACCCCGGGCATCACCGACACTGGGCTGGCCTAGAGAGGGCCCAGGACATCACCAGGAAGGTTCTCCAGGATGCAGGCAGCTGAACAACAGTCCATCCTGTGGGTGACAGAAGGATCCCCTTCCACAGGGACAGTGCTGCCGTGCCGGCCAGGTCCCATCCCGCACTCTCCTGTGCAGCAGTTTGGCTGTCTCCAAACCATGTCTCCACACGGATTTCCCCCACATTACATTCACACACAGGACTCAGACAAGGTGGCTGCACAAGAGCTGGGAGCACCTGTCCCACGAGTCCCCCGTGGCTCCTTGCCTGCCACAGCCACGCTCCATGTGCTGCTGGAGCAGGGCTGTTCCCTGTGCCCCCTGAGCAGGGCTCTCGGCACCAGCATTTCAGTTCTTAGTCACATCTAACAGCCAGGTCTGGGTTTGCCACCAAGGGCTGATCAGCCCCCCAGTCCTCCCTCATCACCTCCCGTCCCTCCCAGCACAGCAGCCGTAGGCAGCTGCCTTCACCCTGCTGGGGCAACCTTGCCCGGTCTCCAGCCAAACTGTCAGCTTTACAATCCATTCTGTGGGTGTTGTGAAACACCCTTAGGAGGGGAGGGCTCCGGTGGCCAGGCAGGGCAAAGGTCTCGCTGCTCAGGGCCTGTGCTGCTCAGGGCAATCCAAGGGGCAGGTTTCACCCCAGCGCGTGGGCTGCCAGCCCTGGCTGGCCCGGCTGTGCTGAGGCAGTGACACCAGCCGGGACCCGACCCCTGCCCGCAGCCAGTGCCCTGCCTGGGTGGTGGGCAGCAGCCTCCCACGGGACCCTCGCTGCCTCCACGGCTGGCACAGGCAGGAGGGAGCTGCAGGGGCGATCAGACCCCATTTCCTTCCAGTTCAGTTTGAAACCTCTTCAAAGACGTCACCATCATAGACTAGTGAGGCTTGGCCTGCCCCCGCTCAGCCACAGTGTGCCCGTACAGTCAGAGCTGTCTATTTTTGTAGTTCAATATTTATATACTCTATTAAAATGCTTTTATGAGATTTGCAGCAGCAGTGCCCAGGCCAGCTCTTTGGTAAAAATGAACCCTGAAGCATGTGAGCTGCACTAGCAGGGCAGAAATTAGCAGCTTTTGTACATTTTCTTTGGCTGTGATGTGAATAGTCAGGCTTTGGAGGGCAAGACCCCTCTTGCTCCCCCAGGGCACCCCTGAGGGCTTGGACCCTCAGCACTCCCCAGCTGCTCCCATGGTCCCTAACACGTCCCTGGGTTTGGGAAGAAGTGCAGCAAAGCCATGCTGGACAGGACCCTCCTTGCAGGACCCAGGCAGCAGCTGCCCTGGCTGAAGGCCGGCCAAGGTGTGCAGCTCCTGGGGCACAAAAGCTCTAGCAGGAAATTTTTGAAGCCCCTGACGTGTCTGGAACTGCTGCCTCAGGAGCACAGAGTCCCCACCAGCCACCACCGGCCCTCCCAGACTGTCAGCCCTGCAGGAGGCTACACAGAGGATGTCCAGGGCACTCACAGGCCCTGGCAGAGCACTGCATGCCCGGGCTGCATGCCTGGGGCCAGCGGGGTGCAGGGCAGTGGGGGGGCACTGGTAGCACCCCGCTGGGCCATGAGCACTGGCTGCAGTTGCACAAGAGAGAACACCCCAGAGCCTGGCTCCTGGTAAGGCTGTGCAATGCTTCCCACCTGTTTCCCTTTGCACAGTGATCTAAGGCAGGCTCTGCCATGCCCCAGCTCTGGGGTGAGCCAGCTGTGCTGGGGGCCCTGCTGTCACCCACCCACAGGGGCAGCAAGAGGGGTTTGTCAGGCATTGCAGGAGCAGCCCCAGGGCTGCAGCGTCGTGGTTCCAGGGATGCCATTCCCATGAGGTGCCCTTGGCCTCTGGAAATTGCTGTTTCTCTCAGGTTCTGAGAGGTTCTGCTGAGAATTTGTCTCTCTGTTAAGGTGAAAGAGGGCAATGCATGTCCCTGCGTGCTCAGCTGTTCCTGCAGCTGTGGTGTGCACAGCTGCTTCTCCCGTCCTTCCTAGACAATCCCGATAGACACAATGTGATGCATTTTTATTACAAACTCCTTGATGAGATCATGGAGTTCATGACTGACCCGAGCATTGAAAAGGGGAGGGAGAGAGAGGTATGATCCTTGTTCTATGTAAATACCTTCCTAACAATCATCATCCATAGTGCCTAGTATGTAAATGAAGCAGCCCTGTTTGAGCTGCGGGATCTTTTCCTCTCCACCACTAATTAGCAGCTTGCTCAAGGAGTTGACCCCATTCCCAGTCCCCCGATGCCTTTTCCTCCTCCCAGTGCTCCTGGTGCGGGTGGGCAGCTGGGCAGGCCTGGAGCCCCAGAGCCCACGGCCAGGCAGGCAGAGCCACCTGCAGCAAGGGGAATGTTTCCCAAGGGGATGGAGAGGGAGCACCCCAGTTCCCCCTTCATGCCAACGTAATGTGCTTGGAAATGAGTTGTCAGGGTAAGGCCTGTGCTTTTCCCTGGGTGCATTTGCCTCACAGCCGGAAGGATCAGCTCCTGCGTGCTGTACCTGCTTCAGTCACTGCTGCTTTTCTGGGGGAGAGGATAGCTCTAGAGATACTATATATACACTTATATATATATATATATATATATACACACACATACAGGCACTTGTTTTGAAGGGAATACACTGTATGATTGTAATAGAAATGATGTTGAGATAAATTATTTTAATCTTTGTATTTATATAAAATGATCAAAGAGATCATAAAAAAAAAATCAAAAAGACACTGTTCCTATTTTTTACTGAGAAGGCTGCTGGAGATACTGCAAGCCCAGGAGCTGCCGGAGCACAGGCAGGGCCTGTCCTCCCCTCCTTGTGCCAGGGGCTCTAACAGACCCACCCCCCACTCACACTGTAAGTGAGCCCTTAGCCTATAAGGTGTAACAGGCATCTGTAGGTGCATTTAGTCTGTGCTCTGGACTCCTTGGGAACCCAAAGGGTGCACACAGCTTTGACCTGCTCCACACACCTGAGAGCACAGACCAAGGAGTGCAACCGCCAACACCTACGTGCTCTGTATGGAACAGGCAGTGTTTGATGTTGACTTGTAAAGCTTAATGATTAGACTGGAAATGGAAGCATAGCAATAACGCTCGGTTGTTAAACGTCTTGTGTGTAAAACATCACGTGCTGAGAGTCGTCTACTGACTAACAGCCGGGCTCCTCTCCTCTGCTCCCCCTTTTATTCTGCAGCTCTGCCAAGGCTCATGGATTTAATGTGTTGGGTTTGCTAATATCTTTTCATTATTATTATTATTATTGTTGTTATTATTATTATTATTATTATTCCTAATGCTGTCTGAGAAAGTGATGTTGCAAATGCACCTTGCGGCAGGTGTGGGGTGAGTGGTGGGTGGGTGAGATGTGCCCGCTGCACTTGCTGCAGCAGAGGCGGTTCTGGCGAGGGGTGTGCACTCCCCTGGACTTATTTCAACCCCGTACAGATCAGTCAGGAAGTTCTCCCTCTTGACCCTGTTAACTAAAAAGCCATATTTTCTGAATGTGTTTGCTGGGATTAATCTAAGTGCTTCCGGCTGCATCCTTCCTATCCCTGCTAGCCTCCTAACCTTCCCACTGCTGCATGGCTCTGTGCAGAGACTGTCTGCACTGGGGCCAGGCCCCACTGCTTGGGGAAGCTTTGCCCAAGGCAGAGCCCAAGGCTTTCTGTGAACCGCCTTATGGCAAGTGAAGCTGGGTTCAGGGCCCAGCTGATGGGTGCTCTGGAGGGGCTGAGGGGTGGTCTCTCCGGGTGCCCAGGAAAGCTGGTAGTGACACAGCATGAACCGGCCGGAGCCGGTGGTGTGCAGGGAGTGCTCTGCTCTGCACAGTGCATCTCCATGCACAAGTTCCCTAAAATGAGCTCCCAGAAGGCAGAGGAGCAGCAGCATTGCAGCTCTGGCCAGCACTTCCCAAGTTCTCCCCGAGCTCTCCCCACCGGGAAGGTAAATCAGCAGCATGACAAAGGACTTCCATTTACAGGGCTTATGTGAACCTTTCTGAGTCCTTGTGTGCAGCCTTGTGAACTGGCTCCTGCTGCCCCAGTGAAGCCCCATGACCTGCCTTTTTCCTAGAACAGCAGCCCTCATGTCCCAGCAGCCGTGACGAGCCAGTCTCACTGTACTGATGCCACAGCTGCCTCGGTGCACGCCTGTTCTTGTCACTCTCCTGCACTGTCAGTGCCTGGCTGCCAAGTCCTACAGGGAATGCAACAGGAGGAGAGAGAACTGCCTTATGCCCACGGATTGCCTCATGCTGTGGATAAGATCAGCAGTGCCAGTGTGCCAGGCTGGGTGAGCAGGAGGAGCCTGGGATCGATGAGCACAGCGGCCGTGGAGGAGCTCCCAGACATTGAAGCCTGTAAAAGCACAAAGATCAAAGCGCTGTGTCCCCTTGCTGTCAGAGGTGCCCTTTGCTCCCCAGGGCCCTGTTTCTGCCTCTGTCTCCTCTCCTCCTGCCCTGCAGGGATGTTGCTCTCCCAGCCACATGAAGGGACGGTGCCTCTGGACAGAAGCACCTGGAAGGGCACACTCGGTACTGCCACCACATCCGATCCCTTCCTCTCGCCCTCCCTCCCCTCGCCCCTTCGGGCAGGAACAGGGGCATGAAGCTGCCAGTGTGCAAGAAGTGCACCCAACCCACACCCAAGTGGTGCCTGGTC